TAAAGCTTCTAAAATCATACTTGATGATAATGTGCTTTCAAAACAGAAGTATGAAGAATTTTATTATATGTGGGCAGTGTTAAACCAATTCCATTCAAAAACATCATGGAGCACACAAAAAGAAAATGTCTAAAATACTCTAAGAGAAAATTTGTCAAAAAAGTGATGATGTAAGACATAATTATCCTCACTAACAATATTTCTCATTAACTAAAGATACAAGAGAGGAAATAAAAATATATAAATAAGCCCCAAGCGCCCTTCAGAAGTCCCTGTGCTGTCACTCACTGTGAGCTTTCTGAGCAGCAGATCAATTCTTGCTTTTCTATAGAGTCTATTTGGCAAGGTTAATAAATTGGAAACATAATATAGATTCCAAAACGCTTCTCAAAGTTTTCTGCCTCCAGTTGAACTATCCTTTCTTCGAACTGATGAAGGTTAAAGTCAGGAGGTTCAAAACCTAGGCAGTAGCAATGCTCTTTTAAGACTCGTTTGCCAAAAAAGAACCAAAGGGTTATGGGTGTTGCAATGATTGAGACACACAATTCATTTTTATATGCACATGAAATGACAACAACACTTTGAGGCCAGTGAGTTTTCATCCTTTCTTTTAACTTTAATGATATTCTTACTGGGTTATGCATAAATTAAGTGAACCAGATGGGCTCTCCTTAAATCCCAGGGAAATACACTTACTAAACTTCTTTAAGAAAATCAGGAAAAGTATATACATTATTCAAAGAAAACAAATAACCCTAATTGAGCTGACTATACCTAAACTGCTTAGAATGTTCTGACTTTCACTAATGCATTTTAAATATAAGAGAGGAAATGTACATTACGACATAATACTGTCGTAATTCTCCTTTCATCTACCACGAGTATAACTCACATCATCAAGACATTTCCATTTCCAGGGTTGATGCTGGGTGTTCACTGCCTGTCTATACTCTCTCACCTATGACCAAGGACAGGAGTTTAGGAGTTGAAGGTCTCGCCTAAGAGGAAGACAAATTAACATGGATTTAACATCTGTGTCCTTCAGTATAGTATGTTTTGGTGACATTTGATTTAGCACACTCTATCTTTGCACATGACTGCTAGAATCCAATGGATCACCAAAATAAGCACTCGAGGTAATAACTATTTTTCCCTTTCAAGGAGACTGACAATGTTCACTTGTCTTGCTGAACGTGTTGGGAAATCACTAGACAAAGCATTTTTTAAATGTTGTAAAAATAGGTGTTTAAATCTGATTTTCCTTCCTTCTTCTTTTCTTAAATATCAAAGCCCTCCAATATGTATAAAATTATTGCATGGGACCTAACTAGAACTTAATAAAAACTTCGCTATTTTTAAATTGTTTTAGCATGTTTTGGTTCTATTTCTCCTTTTCAAATGCTCCTTCCAGCCAATCAAGGCAGTCAATTTCATACTTCTGCTGGGGGAAATATAAGAATCCTTTAGTTTAAAAAATCATAAGTAAAGTGATAGTAAATTTCTCTTTCAAAGGTAATAAAAGATTTATAAGGGAGGAGATTAAATGTAGCTTTTCCCCATAATTTAAAATTTTTTGAAGTATTCATTTTTGAACCTAGGATTCTTTTTAATTTTCATTTGTGTTTTTGCACCAACATCATTAAGAAATTTGAGAGTTTTAGTTACAGAATTTTATTCCTTCTAGTATTTTCTCTACCTATAATTTGCATAATTTAATATCAAAGATATTTAATCAAGAAAAGTCTTCAATAAAGAAATAAAATTAAATGCCTATTAAATTTCTAGAAATGCCTACCAAGAGAGGGCATCATGTTAAAGAAGGAAATTAAATGTCTTCTTCCTAGGACAAAACATGGAGATTACTTTTTACTTGAAGGCCTCAGTTCTGAAAATGACATTGTGATTTACATTTGTGATCAACAAACAAATTAAAAAAAGAAAGACAAACCTCCCTGGTATTGTACATACTTGTTCCCATTCTCAAAACTACTCAGGAAGTCCAAGGTTCCTACTCATGAAGACACTGACCTGGACTTTGTGGGCCAGGGAAACCCCTCTCAGGACGAGACAGATTCCACCCTAAGCAGTTTAGGGTACCACTATGCCAGCAGAAAATCATTCAAGGGGAAAAAGAAGTAATGGGTCTGAAAGGAAAATTCTTCCTGAGCAACTACAATCTCTTCTAAAACAGAAAATTTGCTTTTTGAGGAGAAATAACAAAATACGTATAATTGTTCAAAGAGGAACATGAACACTGGTGTTTTGTTTCATCATTCATTCGTAATGTGAATCTAAATGTGCGTCTCTTGTAGAAGTTTGTTTCCTTGGAGTTTAGAGGATTAGCTTCCAAACTCTAAGCATAACCTAAAGATGGATGAAGCAGTTCGATTCAGCTGTCACTGAGAAAATGAATAGTAGGGGTGTTTCATATACCTCAGAATACACGTGTGTGTGTGTGCACCACACTTAATGTACGTGGGAAGATGAATCCATTCATTCTGCTCATCTAGAGAAACGTTAATTGAGCAGGCTTCATTCTCTTTAGAGTCTGGTTAGTATCATAAATAATAAAATGCCACTCACTAAATAAACAGCCATTGTGAGTCTAAAATGAGTCACCTTTTACAGCTGGCTCACGTATATGGCAGTCAACAAGTCAGGTATGTTGCCTTGGGGACAACTCAGAGCAAGCATTCCAGCATGAGAGGGAAAAAAGAATCTCATATTCTCCCTTTGAAGACTCCAGATCTATACTCTGGAGACAGCACAGCTTGTACTCCAGTGTTTTCCATTTATACTGAAATTCTAAGCTAAAGGAAAATAGCATGCAGATGTGCTGTTTGTTATTTGATGAGGCTCTTTCGTGCCAGAGTCCTTGGTCAGTATAATAATCATGTTTTAAAAGTACCAGTATTATACTTTTTCACAAACTATCACTTTTTCATAACATAAACAATTAAAAATGAAGGCATACAGGCAATAAATATCAGCACCTCCCAAGCAGCTACTCTTCAATTAAAAATCAAAGTAAGTGCTCACATCTTTGACACTCCAACCAACACTCTAAGTCTAACCAACACCTGAAGCTCCCCCCTCGACGTGTACCAACTGTTCAGGGTGCGACGGTGGCTCCAGGTGCCTGGAGATTTGGAGGGCCCTCTGCATCATCCTAGAGGTATCCTTAATGAGAAGCAGCTCGGAATTTTTGAGTTTTATTTCTCATTGTGTTATAAATATTTGAAAATCAGTCAACTCTATTAAACTGAACATTTTATTACCCAGAAGAACTTGACTACGCAAGACACAAAAAAACGGATGACTCCTGCTGCGGAGAAGTGTTTTCTTCTGGGAATTTTACAAATGCCTTCTAAGTCATCAGTGAATCACTCGCGAAAGAGGCAAATTATAAATGCTTCTCAAGTGGCCTAAGGGTTAGCACCTCCCCAAAATATCAGCAGCTGCTTCCCTCATCTTCAGCATGCACAGGCTTGCTATTAGCTCAGGCTCCTTAACAAACAAACAGAAGATGCAGAACAGGAAACTGTAGACAGGGACTCAGTGTAATGTAAGTAGACCAGGATCAGACACACTTACTACTCCAGAATTGAAACACACTGTAAAGTATAAGAACTAAAATATGGGTTTTTGTATTTTGTCCAAATATTTTTTTCCGATAGTGGTAGTACTAGTTAGAAATATTATCCTTTACTTTGCGTAAGAAATCTTTAATCAATTTCATAAGTTACCTGCTATTTTAAAAAAGTGAACTATTAGTGGGCTGAATTCACCCCTTTGCTCCTTCACAAATGCCTTTACTTGTATTATTTTTAACTTTACTAAATATTATTACTTGGGTCATGAGCAGTTATATCAAGATATAAATTTATAGAGTGACACATTTTCAATACCAACCATCTATGTCAACTTATTCCATAATAGCACATTCCATCGAATTAAACGGTAAGATTTCCCACATTTGTTTTACATTCTATATGTATGGCTTATGAATAGCAATTTTGATGAATTCCAGCTGGTCTAAATATACAGGCGAGCCCTTATATAACCGATTCTTTTCAATTGTTATTGTATTCAATGAGGCCCATTTTAAGTGGGCCACCTGGTAGGATGAAGAACTAATAATTCTCCACAGAAAAAAAATGAAAAACAAATCATCCCGCTAAGCTTAAGACTATCTTCCCCAACTATGTTATTATTATATAACAAATATAAATGAGAGGTAATTCTAATCTTTTGAAAAAGTTGAATTAAAATTTAAACAAGTTAGCAATCTTACAAACTACTAAATGGCTTATTTATCTATTACACAACAACATTAATTTCCACCATTTGTGTGTGTTGCCTAGCTTCACAAATCTATCATACACATTTCAGTCTCCCCCTCATTCCCCACACCCTCCTGCTTCCATCCAGCTGGAATACATCAAGGGCACAGAAGCCAAGTCAAATGTTGACCCCACCCTCCTCCATCCATTTTAAGGCACCTTCAAAGCCAGAGCACTGATCTAGTTCAGTTTTACCAACAAAGCCAGCCATCCTGCTATTTAAGACTCCAGTTTGGGGTTTTTATAACTGCACATTAACATAAGAGCTTTGATTTTTGGTCAAAAACTTCAGCTGCACTGAGTTTCATCAGATTCATCAGAACAGTCACACTGTTTCTGCAGAAGAGCCCCCAATGTTAAATCTTCAAAATCTTTGCTCTCAGTGTCAATCTGTTTCCTTATAATATCAACCTCTCTGAACTGCCCAATAACCAACGCTGAAGAACATAATATTTCCCTTCCAAAAGGTCAAAACAGAACAGCCATTATGGTAGTCCAAAGGCATGTTTTTCTGACATTTGCACACCCTATATCATTTGTGCACTGTCACAGACGACAGTCATTTCAACTTGCACAGAAACACACTTGCCAAGACACATGCAGGAGGGCCGCGGGGGCTGGAGAGAAAGAGGAGCTGCAGTAGGTCAAAGAACTTACTTTGTTGTTCCCCTGTGCATGTAGCCGCAAGGAAAAAAACAAAAAAGAAATATGTTAAACATAAATTTATTTTAAAATTATGAGGTTTTTCATGCTGGAGCAAAATCAAAACAAATAATTTAGCTATTAACTGACATCCCATACACACACATACAGCACTCACAGCTCACGGACAAGTCAAAGAATCCACTTATATTAAATGAAATTATACATTTATGACAGCAGAAAATTACGACAGAGATTTCCCCCTTCTTACTACTCAGAATGCTTGGAGTATGGGAACCCGGCCAAAAAGGATTGGTTTGAATTGGTAATAAGTGAACTGTTAGCATGAAAGGCAAAGTATTTAGTATGTTGGCTTGCCCTTTCTTGACGGCCCCTCCTCCAACATGCCAAGCAGTGGAAAATTTCACCAGCCAATGCATTTTTAAACAAACACTGCATCCTTGGTTTCAAAGAAGGTGGAAAAAAAAGGAAAAGAGAGCAGAGGAAAGGAGTGGGTGGTTCTGGGGAGACAGGGTAAGCAGACCAAGTTATGACCTCCATCTGTACCGTTCTTTTATTTCATAAATAATGAATTTTGTCTCGGGTTGGCATGGGAAGTGAAAACTGTATAGTGGGGATGTGGCCAAAACAAACACTGGTCCACATTCAAGAAAATGGGTCTGGAAAGGCTAGTCACAGAAATGTAGTCATTTCTAAAGGGACACTCTGGATAGAGACACAGAGAGCAGCCAGCGACAGGCGGCAGGCAAATGGCTCTCCTGTTTCAAACTGGAGCTGCAAGAGTATGATTTATATCAAACAATTTAACTCACATATGGCTTAAAAAAATAAAATGGTGATTCATTACTCCCAGGGCAGCCTGAGTCCTCGCAAGGTCAGATGCTGTGAGGAAGACACGATGGGATGTGGGCAGGGACCAGATCTGAATGCTTCTCACAAGGGGCCCAGCAGGAATTTCTCGCTGAGATGTGGAGTGGAAGGGAGCCTTTAGTAAAGCGTGTGTGTCTGTGGAGGAGAGCTAGCACGGAGTGGAGAAACAGGCCGGGCTGGAGATCCGGCATTTAGTTTAAGAGAGGATGTAGAGGGGGAAACAATACACAGAAATTTTCTGGAGAGCGGTAAGGCAACGATTGCAGAAGTGTATTTTCTTGAAAACAGTGCCAATTGGTGACTCTGGGGAAATGTCTAATCCAAGGACCATCACGACCATCATATTTAATAAACATAAATTTAAAGACACTGATAACATAGTGTAGAGAAACTTCTTGGCATTGTGCGTTGCCGTGATATAACCGTTAACATCACGGGCTTATGTGAGATACAAATAATGGTACAAGAATGAGTGAAGGGGGAAAAAAAAGAGTCTTTTGTAAAGAATATGCTGACTGTTCAATAAGGCAATAAAGATCCCCACAGGGAATTTTATCAGGAGTAAAATAGTACTTTATAGAATAACGGGACCCCGGTTCTCCGAAGAAGTGCAATATTGCTGAAAAGACCTCAAACAGATGGAGTTTATTGCATTCCACAGCAGCGCAGCTTTTGATCTAGCAAATAAGTTTCAGGAGTTCAACCAAGTATTTTTGCACATTAGGGGATGACTGGCTTCCCAGATCGACGGCAGATGGTTCTATTTGTAGTGGCAATAATGATGTCACAGAGTAGGGGGCCTCAATCCTTAAATCCAAGGAACATACAAGAGGAGGACGTGGTGTGGCTTTGCCATTTCTTGTTTCCTTCAGTCATTTCCCAGTTGTCTATTCTGAGAGAGGTGTAACAGTCATGAACGGTAGACTGTAAATGCTTTATAATTCCCTCCACTGTTCGGTGTGGCAGCAATTTATGTGTAGATCCCTGAAAGTACCTCCACTGAAGGAAAGCTAAATGCTTCAGAACTGGTCATGTAGCTGCTCTGAGTTCTGTGCAAAGCACTGCTGAATAAGCTAAGAACAAAGTGACGTGTAGCTGGCCAAGCATGGGCATTTTCAGTCTTGTGTTATCAGATGGCTGAATAAATGCCTATGAGTGGTCACTGCCATATTAATAAATATTTATGGAGGTCTGTGGCCATTCCTATTCTCCCCCTAGAATGATAGAGAGACCCTCTCCTCTAAAGGGCATTTGCCACAGAGAAAAGTTTAGTTTTAGAGTCTATCCAAAAGGAATTTCTTCAGCCTCCAAAGCAGTCCTAAAATCATTAATTATGATTGAGAGAAACCTTAATGCAGAGGTATAGTGAAGTTCCAGGGTGTTTCACTTTCTACGGTCATTTTTCATCTCTTAAGAAAGCATACACTATATGGGAGGAGCGTTATCCATACAGCTAACAGAAACCTCGTAGAAAGCTCTGAGGTGTATGACTTACAAACATGCAAAACTGAATTTGCTTCAGATTTACTTACAAGGCATGCAAGGGTCTGCAGGCTGCTTCTTTCAGATGGCCAGCAGGCCAGCATCTGAAGGCAGGCTTATGAATCGTCATGCTGCCTGACAGCCCTCTGACTCACTCCCGGCTGAGCGGTGGAGCCTGTAAGGCTGGACTGCCCACAGGGCAGCATAAGCCCAAGGCTCCCCTAAGCAACTTGCCTTCCTCAGCCAACAGTTGGGGAAATTCTCCCTCACATGCCCCAATCCCACTGAGAGTTTCCAAAGAAAGGGGAACTACTAAATTGGGAATTACAGCTTCATGGACACATTAATGATTTTCAATAATAATAATAAAGGTTACATGGCATTGGACACTTTCACCCAGTTGCAGGCACTGAGCTAGATGTAGTGTGTAATAGCCTTCATTGTATCCTATAAAATCACTCAGAGGAAGGTATTATTATTTTGGATTTAAAAAAGAATAGACGACTGGAGAGTTAAATAAGTTGCCTGAGCCACAGAGCTAATAAATGGAAGAGGAGAGATCCAAACATGAGTGGATTTGACTTAAAGTCTATCTCATTTCACTGCACGCAAAACGTTCCAAAGAATTTGGAATTCCTTAATGTTTATATATAATTTGAATCATATTGTATGCTGACAAAACTGTGCCAGAAAATCAGTCATTTGTTATATCATGTTCTTCAGATATTTAATCAAATTCATATTTATCTGTATTCACCCTTATAGGAAAAATTTATGTATGTGTGTCAGTAAAATAATATTTTAAAAGTTCTTTAATTATAGCCTGTTACTACTGATACACCCACACACACAATATACACACATATAAACGTTTTTGGGTTTTCTTTGGTGAGGAAGAATGGCCCTGAGCTAACATCTGTTGCCAATCTTCCTCTTTTTGCTTGAGGAAGATTGGCCCTGAGCTAAAATCTGTGCCTCTCTTTCTCTATTTTGTATGTGGGATGCTGCCACAGTGTGGCTTGACGAGTGGCACAGGTCTGCACCTGGAATCTGAACCTGAGAACTCCCAGCCACCAAAGTGGAGAGCTGGAACTTAACCACTACGCCACCAGGCCGGCCGCCCACGGAAACTTTTTATCTCAGTCTCATCAGTAAAAAAAGCTATTAATTAATTCCATCAGAAACATTATTACTTTGAAACTGTGTAAAATCCTATACCCTTACTTAACAATATTAATTTTATAGTGGTTATAATTTCAATCTAATGGCCAAGAAAGAGAAATAAAAGAAATAAAATTGTGCTAAATCCAAATTCAATTTAAATATATTTTAAAATATTGTGGCTGCTCATAAAGATCAGGTGACTGGTAGAGTGCTACATTTGTGACTCAGAGAGGTTATGCCTAAGTTCCTGGAGTAAGTCAGTGGCATAGTGGGAAACTGAACCCAGGACTCCTCCTTTCCTTTTGAGGGCCACACACTACACTGCTCAGATAAGATGTCTACATTTTGCTTTGGATCCAGAGAGATTAAGGCACTGAAGGTAATTAGAAAATAGAAGATAACTAGAAAATGAAGATGGAAATATAGTTGGACTGTTCCATTTTATACAGATAGCCACTACAGTTTTTATCACATTGTAATTTGCATCTCTCTGCTCCACTAGACTTTGAATTTCTATAAAGTAAGAATTGTATCTTTTTTGTCTTCGAGTCTCTTGAGTCCACCATAACAGTGACAGCTGAAGGGAAGGAAGGAAGTGGGGGAAGAGGATGGAAGGGAAAGAAAGAGAGAAAAAGAAATGTGTAGAAAACTCCAAGAAATGACCTAAGAGACGGATGAAACAGGGTAGCAGAACATTATGATGAGTGACATAAAAACATTCCATAGTGTGGACGTGATAGGAAAAAGTACAATGGGCAAAAGCATGCTATAAAAAAGTGCAACCTTAGTTGGAAAAAAACTGTCCAGAACACCATTTCATTCAAATTTGGGTGATGGCTGTTTATCTAAATGAAGCATTTATACATTTTTAAAAAATGATCTATGGAGAATTTTTTCCAGTCAAAATAGAGGTATCTTGCGTAGAAAGCAAAACTTACTGAGTCTAGACTCACGTCCACGTATGACACAGAAATATTTCACTGTTAGGGTAGCAATCGACTGATTTGCTGTTGACTCAACGGTTTACTGATAAAAAAACAAAATGACACACCAGAGGCCTAAAAATTTACTGAGGGAGAGACATCTGTTATTAAGTTAATCTGACTTCTTCAGCAAATCTTCCTACGTTAGGCATAACCGTGCCTAAAAGTACCCCTTCCCCGAATCTAAGCGTGTTCACAAAATGGAACGTTTAGACAAGCTTCTACTCAGAGTGCTTTCACTAGTTAGCTGCCATTTAAACATCTGAAAGTCCAGCCATTGTGCATAAGAAATGCAAATATTGTTTACGATAAAAACTGAGAAAAAGCAACGATCCGGGCACACTGCCAAGTTTAATTTCCTGTCACGTCTTTGGTATGTAGTGAAAAACCTCTTTGTCTCGATCTTCCAAGTGACTGCACCAAATGTGTGTTTATAAACAAAACGATGTGAAAAGATCAAAACAGATTGGGTGGGAGAACTCTAGATTTGCTTAAAATTGAGCATTCTGATAAAAAATAGCAAATATTTCATTGAGTATCTTCTTTGTGTAGGACTATGGATACATGAAAATCCAGATTTATAAAAACAGCTCACTGAAGGTTGGGTAATTTTGCTTTTCTAAGACCGTTTTTCCCTCACAAGAGACACATTACATAATTTCTTTAAATAGCAAACTTGTCTAGTGCATTTAAAATAAGTTTAACGGACAAAATCATGACCTAAGAAAACATTTTCACAAACATGACAGTCGCATGTAAGGAAGATACACACACACACACGTTGATACTTTATATAACCAAGCATATTTGAAAGACAGAAAATAGCATAAAGTATTTCTAATCTCATTGGGCTATATTATAATACCCACAGTGTTTTAGCTCTCCTCTATTTGTTAAAGAAAGTAGTCTGTGATGAAAATTATTACTATGATTATCATCATCATCACTATTATTATAAATAAAGAGTGCTTCCTTGTGCCCACCCTATTCAGTGCTTTCCCTGCATTATCTCACTTAATCCTGTCGAACCCACTATGTCTAGAGGCCTTTTGTCATCTTCACTTTAGAAACGGGAATCTTGAAACATAAAAAGCCTAGGCAGCCTGCCCAAGATCCCACAGCTTGGACGTGAGCGTCTGGAATTTCAATCCAGGTAGTTTGACACAAAAGCCTGTGTTTAGACCCACACGTTCAACTGCTTCCCGTAAACCCAGCCCTAACGATCTTTGAAAAATGTAAATCTTATCATGTCATTACCTGGCTGGAAGCCCTCTAATGGCTTCCCATCTCACTCAGAATAACACCCAAATGCTCACCACTTCCTTCAAGGCCTACACACTCTGCCTCTGACCACCCTCTTGGAAACCAGCAACCACCTTTGTCCTCCCTCACTGTGTTCCAGACGCACTGACTTTCTCGTTCCTGTAAGATACTGAGCTGGCTTTGCACTTGCCAGTCCTCTGCCACCAATATTCTTCTTCAGACTTCATATCATGTACTCCCTCCCTTACTTCAGGAGCCCACTCAAATGTCAGCTCTCCAAAGGGGCCTCCCCTAGCCACCTTTACTAAAACAAGGCTCGCCTGCCCCTCACTCTCACTGTCTGCCCCTTTAACTTACTTTGTTATTTTATTTTATAGAATGTATCACTCCCTTAAATCAGGCTATACAATTTGACATTGATTAGTTCACTTGTTTAACAGCTGTTTCTTGGGGGTGGGACCTCGTTCACCCCTCTGCTGCTAGTGCCTAGAATACTGCCTGGAAAAAAGCGTGCGTTCAACAGGCTTTTATGAAATGAATGAATGAAAAACGAAGTATATGTGCATTTTTAAGATAGAATGTTTGTGAAATTAAACACACTACCATCAATGGATAGGGAAGAGTAATAAGTAATGCTAAGAATTAACAACAAAAGTAGAAGCAGTATTCTAGTTTTTTATGTGTGGTCTTTAGAGCGGTATATATCTATGCAAATATGTATGCACACAATTGGTAAGAACTGGGCAACAATTATGGAAATCGTATACAGATACCTCTGTTCCTGGGGATCACCAGGAAAGGGTCTGGTTTCACCTCACTTGGAGGGCACAGGGCATGTTGTGGGGGGTTCATTGTTTTAGGTGCTAACCAGACAAATGCAGGTTGGGATGGGGTTAAGAGGTCTACGCATGAGCTAAAATAACAGCAATAAGGAGAAGATTTTGGCACAAATCTTCAATCCTTTACCCCTGGAACTCTGTTAAATTCCGAGGTAACCTCAGGGATGCAGTCAGGTCTGAAATTCCCCCAGGGACGCATCAATTGTCCCACATTGCACCCATATCTCAGACTTCCTCTTGAAAAGACTCTATCCCTTTTTGGTGCCTGCAAAGAACCGAACTTGTGCATGATCAGCCCTATATACTGATCTGGAGCCAAGCAAGCACCACAGGATCAAGCTGGACTAGCTCCCCATGGCTCAGTCTCAGGTCTTTAGTTCTGGGGAGTCCTTGATAGTCCAGTGTCTCGGAGGAAGCAGCAGGGAAGCGTGAGAAGCATCGTCTGCAGAGGCTGTTTCACGGAGCGTGTGCATATGGTGGGTAGGACCTCTGAAGTTTAACTCCAGACTAGCCTGTGTAATATTACATTTTCCAAAGAACACAAATAGAAGATCTGTTTATTAACTTGAATGAGAGAAGTGTCTCCAAGACACTTGAAGGATATTAATAAAGATAAGTGGGAATAGCAATATTTTTTTTGTTCTTTCACACTCATGATAACATTAAGCAGAGTTTACAGATATAATTATGGGTACAGGTAATACAGACATAATGAAAGGAGGTAGATTTTTATAAAAATAAGTATATTTTTAAGAATATGAAATATCAGTGTTATAATTGATGATATATATACTATGACTATATGAAGAATGTTATAAACTGCTGGTATTAATACTATAACAACTGTGGAATAGCATATAAAAGAAAACAAAATTTTAAACTAAAACAAAGAAACTCTCTCTTGGTCTGAGATCACATATATTATGTTTTATGGCAGAGTAGGGTATTTTCTTTAACAAATATATACATAAACTTCTTAAAATAGAAACCTAACAGAGAAAAAGAAATATAAGCAAAGTAGCAGTTAAAACTGTGCCAAATTAATTAAGTCAAAAGAGAACTAGTTTCGTCAGCATATAATATGTAGAATTATGTTTTCTTAAACATGGTTAGTAATTTTTAAGTAAGACATATATCCAACTTACTAAAGATTTATCAGGATAAACCCCAGCTCTTAGTAGAGATGCCTTCCAGCTGTCTACATCCTCCTGTGAATCACATGCCAGCTCGAGGAAGCGATAGTCTTTGTAAACATTCCTGGAGTTAAAAAAAAATCATGCTTTTAGTTTTGAGCCAAATTCAAAACAGTTTTATAGCGCTGCAGACAATGATGATACAAGAGACAGTCCAAATGGATAGTTTTCTGACAGTCATTGGAGAAAAACAAAAACAATTCACTGTATTTAAAATAATTAGCAAATTCCTATGTTCGTGCATTATATAACTTCAAAAAGCCTCTCACATTAAAGAATTCAGAGTCCTCTGTACTCCTGAGCATTCAAACGTGAAGGAAATGCAAATACTCTCAATAGGACACACTGGGTGCCAACTGAAGGGGAGTTGGTCTGAGGGGGATGGATTTGCTATTGTCTAGTAATTAGATCAATTTTCTGAAACTATTCTAAATGGCTCATAAAACTTTAAAACGCATGCCAGTAATCTTACAAACCTCAAATACTATGATAGATTCAAAACAGAAATGCTCATCAATATTGTGAAAAGGAAAGAACATTAACCATTCTTTAACAGAGTGAAATGCCTATAAAGCGCATATTTATAACTGGGATATTATAATTTTATATTTCTTTTCCTAATAATAAAATAATACATAAGATGCAACTCATACACATTTTGAAAACTTTGGAAACTAGATAAAAGTATAAAAATGGTAACAATCATCCATTTTCCACTGTTTACAGATTACTTGCTTATACTCTTTTGTTCTATGCATTTTTCACACAGCTGAGATTGTCTCTCTCTCTCCTCCTCTATCTCCGTTTTACTATCTCTCTATCAATTTTATGTCTTTCTTTTTCACTTATTATTATATCACGGTCATCTACTTACAGTACATCTTTATAAACATCCAATTTATAATGGCATAATATTCATTAATATAAATACATGATAGTTAATCTCCTTCTAATATTAGATAATTGTCATTCCTTTTTTTTTGCATTCATAAATGATGCTTAAGTGAATATCTTTATCCATAAGCCTTTGTCACATTTATTGCTACTATTTTCTAAGGATAGATTCCTATAAATAGTTATAGGAAATTATAATCACTTTTTCAGACACTGATACACATTCCCAATCACTTTTCCAGAAAAGGTAATACAATTTAGAGAGACATGAGAAGTATACGAGATTAACAATCTTTTTCTCTTCTAATGCTCTCCCAAGGTATTCTCATTCATGCCTAACAGACTCAATGTCCACCTAAACCCAGATGGCTCACATATTTCTATCTCCTATCCAGACCTGCCCCAGATTCGTACAGCATATTGTCTTCTCCACTTGAGTATCTCAAAGAGACCTTGACATGAATGACTGAATTGGTCCTCTTACAGTGTTTCTATTTCATGCAGCAGCAGTGTAATCCAGATACTTTGGGGGTATCTTTGACACCTTCCACTCTCATACCCGTCTTCCATTTTACCATCTAAAAGTGTACTTCCTGTATATTGACCACGATCTTACTATCACCTTTCCCTTAGATTACAATGATAACCTTCTCCCTGGTCTCCTAGCATCACATGGCTCCTTTAAATTTGCTCTCCTTGAATTCTCATGATCTGCTGAAAATATGAATCAGATATTTTTACCTCTGGTATAAAACACTCCCACGGCTACCTGCTTTAGAGAGAAGACCACACTCCCTATGATGGCCTACCGAGCCCTGCATGGTTTGACCCATCGTTACCTTCCTCTCCAGCTTCTCTCACACTCTGCTCTTCCCCAGCCACAGAGGCCTTCTTTTAGTTCCTCACATGTGCCGTGCTGACTCCCAAGGTCTGTGAATATGCTGCTCTCTCTGCCTGTCGCTCTCTTTCCTTCCCTCATTACACAATTAGCTCCTACTCTTTCTTGGGATCTCAGCTCCATCATCGCTTCCTCAGACATCACTTCCCTGACACCCCTACCAGGTCAGCTCCCATTTCATACATTCTTGATATTTCCATTTACCTTTCCTTCATAGCGCTAATCAAAGTTGTGATTTCAGAATTATATGTGGGTTTCTTCTTCTTTTTTTAATCTCTCTTTCTTTCTTAGTTAATTATTTATTTATTTTGATACTATCTGACTTCCCAACTAGCCCATAAGCTCCATGAGGACAGGGAATGTATCATTCTTATGTTCATCATTATATCCCCAGGGAATTCTGGGAAGATGATGGCCTAATTGTGTTCTGCTTCCTCTCTACTTCCAACTCAGGTCAAATACATCCTCTTTTCTTAAGTCAAGCAGACATTAGGACTGGTACTCAGGTAGAGGATGTGAGCTAGATAGCTGTTGTGGCACTTTCTTACTCTGGGCTGAACAAGAGCATTGGGACCACAGCAGGAGAACTCTAAGGCAAGGACCAGCATGTAGCAGCCCCTTGGTGGAGCTGTCCCTCAGTGATCACAGGACCCTTGAGTGTGCCTGATCCTCTGGCCCTCAGGAAGAGTGGAGTGTCTGAGTTTTCTTTATACTAATGCAGAAGAAAGGCTCCCTTCTGGTGCCTCCATAGGTAACTGGCAACATGCCTACTACGGGCCTGTGATGACTGAGATGTCTGTACTTTCCCACGTCCATGGGATGAGTCCACTTAAAGTACTCAGCAGGTGCACCTGTGTGGCAATGAACAAAGAAAAATAAAAGGACACCTAAGGAGGTTTAACAGTCAGAGAAAGAATGAAGAAAGCAATCAGAACAGCCCATCAACAAAGGAGAACTCTTAGGGGAAGGAGAAGAATAATAAATATTTGAAGAGGTACAAGTACAGCACTAAGAGAGACTTCCTGGAACGAAAAAAGAAGATTTGTAAGTTACAATATTGAGTAGATAAGTTTCCTTCCTTAAGGAAGGCTGATCAAAGTTGAGACTAGGATTAGTAGATTTCAAGATCTAGTAGAAGTAGAAAAATATAAAAAGAGAAAAGTTATAAGAGTGTGGAGGAAAGACTCCAAGAATCCAACCTGTAAATAACAGGAGTTAAAAGAAAAGGAAGACAAGAGGACAAAAATAATTATAAAAGAGAAACTACTTTTTAAAAAAATTAACATCTTGAATTTTAGGAAGATCCAAATCTGTACTTTGAAAGTGCAGTTTCAGGTGGAATTGATGAGACGAGATACCACTTAGGCATATGCTAATACAATCCTTGAGCTCCGAGATAAAGAAAGCATTTTAAAGTCTTCCGCAAAGAAGCAGCAAGTTGCTTACAGAGGAAAAAGGGTTAGACTGGCACTAGGCAGGATATTCAAAAGGCATGAGGCAATGAAATAACATTCACGGACGCCTAGAGGACTGCAGACTCAGAGCCCCACACCCAGCCAGGACATCACCATGTCACAGTCCGAGGGAGACCTTAAGGCAGGGTAGAGCTACAACACCACCAAATTAACCCGCAGGGAGTGTTCAGGTGAGGAAAGACTAAGAGGAGAGGAAACAGTGGTGAGCACCCAAACTTCCAATATCCACAGAGTCAAAGCAAAATCAATGACAGACCATCTAAGAATGTGCAATACCTGGGCTAAATAAAGACTCAAGTAGAAGAGACTGCAACAGAAATCTGAATAGTCTAAAAGCTGGGGGAGACTGGGAGGAGATAAAAGTGCTCCCAAGATCTCCTCTGATGGGTGTCAGGGTGGAGAGTGGGGAAGCGAAGGGATCCCAGAGGTCTCATATCGTTGGGAGAAGGGGGTGAGGGGAGACGTAGGAGAAGACAGTGTTTGTGGAATGAATATTTGATAATAGCCTCATGGAATAAGAGGGCTGTGTACTGATGATGAACGTAAATATTAATGAAATAAAAAGTACTGTAAAACTCCCAAATTAAAAAAGAAAAAGGAAATTAGACTCTTGATCAAATCAACAAAAAAACAAGAAAAGAAGAAAAAATAAAAAAAGAAGAAACAACAATATAGGGGGTTGGCCCCATGGCCTAGTGATTAAGTTCGGTGTACTCTGCTTTGGCAGCCTGGGTCTGTGGATTTGGATCCCGGGTACGGACCTACATGACTCCTCAGCCATGCTGTGGCAGCAACCCACATACAAAATAGAGGAAGACTGACAGAGATGTTAGCTCAGGGAGAATCTTCCTCAAGCGAAAAAAAAAAAAAAAGGCAAATCCATAGAGACACAAAGTAGATTAGTGTTTCCAGGGCTGGAGGGAAGGGAGAAGGGGAGGGTGTGGGGTTTTGTAGTGATGAAAATATTCTACATTATGAATATACTACAAATCAATACATTTTACTAAGAGGTATGTGAATTACATCTCAAAACTTATTAAAAAAATAAAATAAAACTAATAAATTTTGATAATATGACAGGAATAAAATCAGGTATATTAGTTCTGAAATTAGTGAAAATCGACTGAATCCTTTCAGCTAGTCAGTTAACTTAGGCTAAAAAAAAAACCTGGTTAAATATTATTTACAAAAATAGAGGAACAGGCAGAGATATCAAACACAAAACAAAGAAATAAAAATGCATGAAAGGCAATACTGGTAATAGACAAGATGGAATTTCAAAGTATTGAACAGGATAAACCAGTTAAAAGCACTAAATAAAATAAATAGAAATATTATATAATGATTTAAAGTACAATTTATGAAGATTGGAAAATCTTCCAAGTATCTATTTGCACCAAGTAACATAGTAGATAAGTAAACGAAGCAAATGCTACTGAAAATGCAAGATGAACTCGATATAATTATATGCATATAATTAATTAAAATATAAATATACAAAAATTTTAATATGACTCTTCTCAAATTGGACAGATATAGTGGACAAAAAGTAAGTGAGCACATAAAAGAAATAAATAGTATAATCAATGAAGTGAATTTAAGAGAATCCTTTATCCCTTAATGGAAGATAAAGATTTTTTTCATTATCCACAAAACATTTACAAAAATCAGTCATATACTTGGACCTACACACACACACATATACCAACCTTAAGAAACTAAAAAGGAGAGATTGTAAAGATCACACTCTTTGATTACAAACCAAAAAAGAAAAAAAAAAAGAATTTCTAAAAAAAA